TATCTTTTCCTCTCTGAGCCAAGATACCTCTTGCTAAAACACTTCCAGATCCTGGAACACTTCAGTCTGATCCTTCTTCAAGGTGGTGCTCAGAGCTGAACTGAAGAGTGCAATGCAGTGTGGGCAGCTTGGTAGACACAGATCCATTGCCCAGGGGCCAGGCAGGGGCCCAGCTCAGTGGCTGGTTGCCTGTTTCATATTTGTTGCATGACTGAATTCCAGAAACTATGTTTTTACCATTTCTCTTGGTAGATAAGCCCTTGTTCCATTCCTGTTCAGCTTGTCCTTAGGACATCAAAAACCAGCCATGTAATGGGTGCTTACCACAGGCCAGCCAGGCACCCCTGTTCACTAGCTCTGTGACACCCCGGCCCTGCATCCTTACACAGCCTGGCTCACGGAGCACTCGGTATTTGCTGAGTGATACACTGGAGGTCGGGAGATTTGCCTGAAATCCCACAGTGAGCATGCTGGGTGGGTTTCACACCAGTTCATCTCCTGAGCCTTTGCTCTTGAACACTGACACTACCTCCCACTCGGTGCTCCTCCGAATCCCTTCCTGCTTGCCAGCTGAACCCCACTACCGCACAGCTTCCACTTGACCTTGGTGTAAACCTGGGGGCGGGTTCTGCCAGGGCACTAAGACAGTATGCGGTGCTGACAGGCTGCAGCCTCCTAAAGAGCACCCTTGTCCACCCAGGCTTGAGGGCACATCACCCTCAGACCCTTGTAGCCTTAGGTCCAGGGTTGCCCCCAGGTACTAGGGTGGTAAAAGGGGCTTTGGAGTAAATAGTCCTCACCCCCAACTCAAGCTGGAGCAGTGTGACTTACCTATTGTGCATTTGGGGGCGCTGCAAAAATTCATTTAGAAAGAAGGCTCTGGTGCTATCAAGAAACAATTTGGAAACCACTGTGTTGTATATAAAGATGGGCATTTCATGTAGATAGTTTCAGGGGCTTTAGTGGACTAGTTAGGAGCCACTTCTAACAGCCAGGTTAAATTCCAGTTTCTCACAAGCTTCTACGCTCCCTGGCAGTGGAAAACATTCAGCTTCTCTGCCCTGAGGATTTGCTCTAAAATGAGTCCGGTCCAAATAGCCCTGCTTCCTAGTGCCGTCTAAGGAGTAGTCAGCCCTCGATGCTGTGTGCAAAGATGCAGATGCAGGGAGGGGGACACGCATGTAGAACTTCCTCCCCACCCATGAGGCTGGGTGGGCTGCACAAACGGCAATGGTTATCTTGGGACTTGGTGGTTGGTAATAGCAGTCCCTTTGGCCTGACACTTGGGGGAGAGAGTGCCCAGCGCCCCTCACTCAGGCACACCTCATACTTGCCAGCAGAGGAGCTGTTGTCTCTGACAAGTGGAGAAAATGCTCTTCCTCACTCGGTGAGTGGTTTCTAAGATCCAACCATAGCCAGTCCACATTTGTCACTTCTGGAGCCTGGCCAGGTCTTTGGTGGACATAGGACATTTCTTTCACCCAAGTTAAGACCTGCCTCCCTATTTGGGAGCAGAGGCAGGGAAGAGCCCAGGAGCAGTGTGAAGGCCAGGCCCCCAGGTCCATGGAGGCACCCTCCATTTACTAGGTGGCACTGTGCCAGGTAAGGGCCTGTCATCTCTAAGCCCAGCAGTCCAGCAGTGAAGGTAGTGCCCACTCCACGTAAAAGCAGGTGGTTGGCTGGCATTTGAACCCAGGCCTGTCTGAACCATGTCTCTGCTTTGTATTGGCCTGCCTGGCTTCCTGTTCCCTCCAGTGAAAGGGGGGAGGGGGGTGCTGAATCATGGGATTGGGTTGGAGGTGTCACATCCCTCTGGGCCCCTGCATTTTAGGTTGCAGTGTGTGTTCCCGCTGCTGCCACAGTGTCTCAGCCCCGAGATCCCCCTGCCCAGCGTGCTGCTGACGGTCCAGCTCCTCTCCCTCCTGGTGGACCACGAGAAGCTCGCGCCTCAGCTCTGCTCCCACTCTGGTAAAGCCGCAGGGACAGGTGTTCGGACTGCTCCTGCGGGGTGTGGGGAGGGTGGCGGCAGGGCCAGGTTGGGGGTTTCCGCAGCTTGTACCAGGGTCCCTGCGTGAGACGGACATTCTTTTCAGAAGGTTGCCTCCTCCTGCTGCTGTACATGTATATCACCTCAAGGCCTGACAAAGTGGCCTCGGACACACAGTGGCTTCAGCTGGAACAAGAGGTAAAAGTGCTGGAGGCCCCCCATGGACTATTCACCACTCCACCCACCCTAAGAGCCAGTTTTCCCTCCCTCGGAGAGGGGGCTTTAATTTTGGTAGCAAGAGTTTAGCCACTAACAAGGTAAACTCACTTGAGGGGCCTTCACACTACACAGCTGCAATCAGGGTCCTGGGGCTTGGCAGAGTTGCCCGCTAACTGAACCTACCTTGGCTCTAGGGCCTGGTGGCTGAGGTGGGGCCTGGAGGCACACGGGCTGTTGGTGAGACACAGGCGTTGGTCCTGAGTCCGGTCTGGGAAGGCCCCACACCACTGCCTCTTAGACCCCATTCATGCACACAGGCAGGTGGAGCTCTGTGGAAGCCTGAGGAAGGCCTCGCTGTGATGGGGGCTTGTTCTGGAACAGTCCGCTCTTGTTCTAGGCCGTGTGGCTCCTGGCTAAGCTGAGTGTGCAGAGCCCCTCATCCCCACTTACTGGCTCCAACTGCCAGTGCAATGTGGAGGTGAGTGCCCAGGGCAGGCAGGGGCAACAGCGGGGCAGGTCTGTGGGTGGGCAAGGGGTCCCGTGTAAGGACCTCATGCTGCTTCTAACCCTAGTGCCCCCACTCAAAACCCCTCTCACTTCGGGTAGCTGGGAAAGGTGCTGCCCAGCTGTGCAAGCTGTTTGGGTACAGGCACCATGAGACCTGCCCTCGGTCTGCACCCCCAGGTGGTGAGAGTGCTCACTGTGGTGCTGCACAGACAGTGGCTGACAGTGCGGAGGGCAGGGCGGGCCCCGAGGACTGAGCAGCAGAAGCAAACGGTGCGGTGTCTGCGGGACACAGTGCTGCTTCTGCACAGCCTGTCCCAGAAAGACAAGCTCTTCACAGTGCACTGCGTGGAGGTCCTGCATCAGTATGACCAGGTCATGCCCGGGGTCAGCACGCTGATTCGAGGTCTTCCAGATGTGACTGACTGTGAAGGTGAGCAGGCAGGAGGGCCCCACCCTGCCCCAGCTCATCTGGGGGTCCCCCCCCCCC